TCCCCTCCCCCCCTCCCCATTCCCCCTTCCTCTCGCCTCGCGCCCAGCCCAGCCCCGCCACCTCACCGCCCTCCCAGGCGTATCTCTCCGCCCTCAAGCAGCTCGAGCTCGACGTCGACGTGCTCACACGCGTCCTGGCGCCTACTGTATACTTGATGCAGAGCTTTCCGACGTCATTGTGTTTGCCGCTCCGCGCTCGACGCCTGCCGCCGCGCGCGCCCGCGCGCCACCCCTTTTGCGCAGCAACACCTTAAATTTCATGGCCCTCCAAATTCGGGTCGGAGCGTAGCGGAGTGGGCCCCGAGTTTGAAAACGGCGACGGACGCTTGCGTCCTAGCCGCCAACAACGCCTCCCCGGCGCAGAGGGGCCCCCGGAGGGATGCTCAACCGCTCCACGCCACGCCGCTTGCGGCGGTCCTATTCCACGCTCGCGGGGGCCGCTTCTTATTTTTCACGTCGGCAAGAAGCACATCGATCGGATTTACTGCCTTTTGAGCAGTAGTGACTGACACATGCTGCTCCTCCTCCTCGCAGCCGGGCGACCCGCCGCACCCGGCCGTGCGGCGCACATGCGAACGGCGGACGAGACGAGGACGGCGGCGGCGGAGCGGCAGGCTGTGAGTGACACCCTCGAGCGCGTCCTTGAGAGCGCAAAGCGTGGCGCGACAGTCGGAGACCTGCTTGACGAGGCCAAGAGCAGGCTCACAAATCTGGACGAGGCTGCACGCTCTCAAATCGCATCAGCTTTGGACGAGCGCGATGCTGCGAGGCTTGCGGCGAGGAGGAGCGATGCTGCGCGCGAAGCGGCGGTCGCTCGCGCTGCGGAGTCCGAGGGCGCGGCGCGAGAGGCCGAGCTGGCCCGCGCTACCATGGAGGCGTCCATGCACGCGGCGCAGTCGGAGATTGCGAAAGTTCACGTCGAGCTCGAGGAGGCCAAGGCGCGGGCCGCGGCAGCGGAGGAGGCGGAGGCGAGGGCGGCCGCGATGCTGTCCGAGGGGAAGGAGTTTTGGTCGGAGCGGGTCGGAGACCTCGACGACGCGCTCGAATCGCAGCAGGACCAGCTCGCGCGGATGGAGCGGGCGCTGCGCGAGAAGTCAGACGAGGTGGAGCGGCTCGAGGCTCTGGCGGAGGCGTCGCGGACGTCGTCCAAGGATGAGTTGTCGGCAGCGGAGCTCGCAAAGCGCGAGCTGGAGACGCAGCTGCGGAGCGCCGCCCTCGAGGCGAGCTGCGCCGGGGAGCGAGCGCGCGAGCTCGAGGCGCAGCACGGCGCGTGCCACGACCTCGCCCTGTGGAGAGCGCCTCTTCACACCTCCCGCTGTGAGCAGGTGCAGCGTGACGCGGCTGTGCTGCGCGCCGAGGCGGCGGAGGAGGCGCTTGTCGAGGCGACCCTGCCGAAGCGCGTCCGTGTCAAGCGAGCCCTCGCCAACCTCGCCGGGTCCCTTCGGCGGGCACCTCGCGGACTCGCGCGCAACGCGGCGACGCCTCGGAGCTGAGCTAG